AAAGAAAGAAAGAAAGAAAGAAAGAAAGAAAGAAAGAAAGAAAGAAAGAAAGTCAGACAGACAGACAGACAGACAGACGGATACTTCCAGGATAACACACAGTGTGGACTGTTTCTATTAGACTTTTTTTTTCCCCAGCCCGGGTTTAGTCTCCATATTTCCGTTTCTCTTTATTTAGCCCCAGATGATGAGGAAGAGCATATTCTGGGGCAAGTCATTCAAACTCTTGACTAACGAAGGGAGTTCCTAGATCAGGTTAGTGGGTTGCCCAATTTAACAATTATCTGAGTGAGCAAAACAGTCCTGAGGTTTCATTTCCGCCCATTCTGGTCAAACGAACCACTTGGGCTCTCCAAAGCCGGGATCGAGTGCCGGGTTGCGGGACGGTGCCTTGAACCCATGACCCGAAACCCTCCCCAGTGAACAGACTGAACTTGAACCCTCCCCGGAGACGGTCTCGCTCTTTCCGCCGCTGTGATCACATCAGGTCAAAAGAGCGGCGAGGCCGCGGCTGCGGCCGGAGTCGGTCTCGCTTGCCAGCGTCTGCGACGAAGCCGCAAACGAAGACTCTTGGGCGGCAGGGACGGCGGGGTTTTGGCCTGGCCGCTTCGAGGGCCGGCTCAAACGAGCGTGCCCATTGGCGGCTGGAGATGGGGCGTTGATGGACCCTGCAGCCCCGGGCTCTGCCGTGCGGAGGCGCGCGGGACTCCTGGTTCCTGCGAAATACAGAAAGCGGACCCTGCGACCGTCTCGCAGTCCCAGCACATTCGGAGTAAAAGGCCACGGCCGGGTGGAAATGGGATGGAGGCTGTGGCTTAACCCCGCTGTTCAGATCCACCCCAGCCCTCGGCCATCCGTCGGATACAGTACATCGATCCTAATCCGGATTTCTCCCGCAGCAAGCCCCTTTCCGCTTCTTTCGCAGGGGTTATTTCCTTCCTCATCCACGACAAACCTGTTCGGCTCCAATCCAGGAAACACCGACCTGGGATTAAGCCCTCTTTGATTTAAAGGAAATTACAACTGGAAAGAGAACATCTCCCCACCTGTGCATAAACTGTATGGGTTTAATCTCATACCGGAGAGCTGGGATTTACTTCTAAGTAACAAGGCAAACGACTAGGCTTGCGTTAAGCCGCTTTTGATAGAGATACCCGGAAGTGTTCAGAAGGTGTTGACACCTCTTTTCCTCCAAATTAAACCAGAATAAACTGCCCAGGCCTGTCATACCTTCTAAAAGCTAAGCTCCGAAATGAAGAAAAAATGAGAAAAATCTCACTCTCCCCCCTCCCCCCGTCATTTTTTCAGCTATCAGAAGTAATCAAGGATAGCTGATTTACTGCAGGCGCGATGCAGCCATTAGAGCCTGTTAGGGTGCTCAAAGCGCTCTTCAGGTTTCTCCCAAATACATCCTACTGAATAGCTGAAGTTAAATCCCCTTGCCTGCTTTTAAACTGTTTTCTTTCCACTGAAATTCGTGTTCATCTTGGCGTATTTGGGATCGAGCCTATGTTATCTGTGAGCTCATAGATGGATCTAGGTCGCTACATCCTACTAACCTACTCTCACGGGTGATGATGCGCTGGGTTTTGTTTGCTTCCGTTCTGTGAGAGGATCGATCCGAGAGCCCTCTTCATTTGGCTCATGTGCGACAGGAGGTGTGGGGGGGGGGGGGGGGGGGGAAGATAAAGAAGCTCCCCAGAGGGCGCCGATCCCCTCCCTTTGTGGGAAGGCTGAAACTCCCAGATTCAACAGAAGAACAAATTCCTTTTATTTGCTATGTAAGGAAAGAAAGAATAAAGCACATTAACACGTGGGGAAAGTACAAGAGATAAGGGCTACCAAATCTGAGCTGCAAAACGTTGGTACCATCGCTTGATGGCAGCAGAGAGATAATGAAAACCCTTTGCTGTCATCTACTGGTTGCCCCCATTTTTGAGCCCAAATCTGCTAACCGTCACTGGAGGACAAGTCTTTGACCCAAGAGTTACAATGTTGGTAACGATGTTTGAATTCAGCCCACAGAAGGTGGATTGGAAATGAGGGGGAATAAATCACGGAAAGGGGGCGGGCTTATTTATGCTGAAAGTTTGGGTGGCCGAAGATCGAAGGAACTGATAGGCATTCTGACTGTGAAGGAAAACACACACTCGCACACACACAGAGTCACCCTTAACTGGCCGTATCTGCGCGTTGTTTTTCTCCCACCCCTCCATATAGTGTAAAATAAATTGTCTGGAAAAGGTTGCTGGCCGTTTGAAAGAATGTTTTTCGGGGCAAATGCCTCTTTTCTCATGAACCTTTGCGGGGACTGCAGGCGCCCTTTGCCAAAGAAGCGATCCGTTGAAGCAAGCAAAAAGGTCACCCGAAGAAGAAGGAAGGAACTCCGACGCCACTCGAGAGGCAGGCTCCGGGAAATCCAGCCTCGGGGGCAGCGAGCGAGTTTGAAATCGGGGGAGGGGAGGGGGGGGCTTTGGACATTCTCCGGAGACTTCTAGCCACCGTTTGGCCTCCATGGGCTGGGTGAACCAAGCGGCCTCCCGCTCGGAATTCCTTCAGAGCAGAAGAATCCCGAGGGTCAGGGCGGGGGGGGGGGGAACCCCGCCTCGGCCCCCAGCAAGTGGACTTACAGGCGCGCGCGCGCGCGCGCACGCACACAGACACAAGGGAAGAAGGAAAATGACCTCCTTCCCTGCCTTCAATTGTGTCGTTAAACATTGTCGGGCTTCGTCGTGTTTTCTTAGCTGATTTTCAGGTACAATCAAGCCGTTTTCAGGCCGTCTTTCCAGGGACGGAGGGGCGGTGATCTGGAAGAAGCTGTCGACGCCTGTTCAGTTAATTTAGCTTTGCTTTGTCTAATTACCGGCGTAGCTTAGGGAAAGGAGCCCGGCTCAGGACGGTAAACTGACACTTGGGCTCGGTGGGTGGTATAAGCCAGGCGGAGGGTCGATGATGGAAAAAGCCTGCTTCCACTCAGCTCCTCCAGGTCACTGTCTGAAAGCGGCAGCGGCAGCACCAGCCGCCGCCCCTCCCCCGTCCTCCCCCCCCCCTTTCCCGCGCCCCCAGAGCAGCTCGGAGCAGCACCACCAACGCTGCGGCTTAAGGCTCGCCCAGAGAGCCAGCTGGCCTCGGCCGCTTCAGCTTGCACGTGTGCAGGCGCGGGAGATTTGAAGGATCCCTGCGCCCTCGCTCGAGAAGTGGATTGGCAACTTCTCTCCACTCGGGAAGCAGGTCAAGAGGGGAGCCAGCTCCTTTTCTGAGCCCTCCGTCCCTTTCTGAAAGGAGGAGCACTTGGGAATCCCCTAACCCTGGGAGTATTGGTTGCTTAGACTTCTATCTTGTCTCTTCCCCAGGTAGCAGACTTACCTGGAGAATCGTTTTATCGTTTTATCCTCCGCACAATGTCAGCGGGAATGACTGGCCCCAGGTCATCCAGTAAGTTGCCATGGCTGATAGGAGCCTGGCTCTCCGCAGTCCTGGGTCAACATCCAGTCGAATCACCGCCTAGAGTTGCTTCGGCGACTGCATCAGCTAAGAAGTTGATGAAACAAAGACTATCATCACTGTACGACCCTGACTTCTAGGGACGGATAGGCCAGGCAAGAGTTGCTCAGAGTGCTAGGATCTAATTCTTCAGGTTCAAGGCTTGATTTGGATACTCTTGGTTTGGCTTTGTCGTCAGACCAGAGAGAATTTGATTTGGAGATGAGAGACATGAAGTTTAAAAGTCCAAATCCATGCTTGGGTTCAGTACATGGGGGAACCTTGATTTGGTTGCTTCAGACTGCATGGTGTTTGTAAAATGGAATTCTAGGCATGTCAGAATCAGCAAAATGAATTGCTCCGGAACCTTTTCTAGTGGGCCTTCAGTAGAAAATATAATTTGTGGAATGCCCTTCCCTTACAAATATTTCTAATGCCAACACCAGAACGACGGGATCTCCATTCGTAGTATCAGCTTTGTGCAAGAGGATCAAGAACACAAAAGGCATGAAGGATTCAGGAAGAGATTTAAATGTCCTTTTCGCTCTTGGGAAAATCACTAGAAAGCCTCAGTTTTCCATCTATGAAATTGGAATAGCAGTCTTGACTTCCCAGGGTTTGTTCCAGAGTGACTGAAGCCTGTGTACATGTGTGTGCACGTGTGCACGCCCTTTGAAAGTGGTTTGGGAAATAAATGGTGTGCAGAAATGGGAAACGGGTAGTTCAGGGTCTCCTGCCTTGAAAGAAAAGGAATGCTGGAGCTATAGCAAAAAGAGCTCCACTTTTCCAAGCTTTCCAAACAAATGAATCGCTCGCATGCCCTCCGAACAGATCCACTGCTTTGAATCTCCGGAATCACTCTCCAGATGCTAATTGCACCTGCAGGAACGGAACTGAACAGGAACTGAACAGGCATTTCTGTAGGTGCAGGAGGACCCTCATACCTGAGGCCACTTGTGCCCAGGGCGAAAGCTTTCCAAACTGATTTCTGCCCTCCCCCTAGGGACATCAGTACTCCAGGATGTACATCTGCAAACCCGCCCCGGGGCTGAAACTCAAAGGCCACCACTGCCACTTGGCTTCTGAAATGGGCCAGCACTGCACCCAGTCCAGAAGATGGGGTTTATTGCCAAGGATCTAGAGTGGGAAGAAACCCCACCGATTGCCTCGCGCCTTCCTCTCCATCTAGGCTGCATCTTTCTACCCCCTGAAAAGGCGCTGCTGACCGGTGTGGAGACAGGGTGACATTCTCCAAAGGAGCAGAAACTCTCCCGTTACGGAAAGCGAATTCAGCCTCAGGGAGTCTACTGCCGAACAAGGAAATCCCCTAAACCGTCCTCCGGGATAGGCAAAGCGCTGGCACTCCTCATGCCATGCAAAAGGAAAGGAGACGGGAAAACACATTACCTTGGGAGCCTGATGCTGGGCGTGTGGCTGGGAGACTCAGCAACTGTCTAAGGGCAAGTTGATGGATGGCATAATTGCGTGTACAGAAGATGGCAGCCAGAGGGATCTGGAGCCTCCGCGGGGAGTCCGCAGGCCTGGAGGCGGGGGTGGACAGAAGCCAGCTGGAGCGGAGCGGAGCGGAGACTGCCCGCCCTCCGCCTCGCCTCGCCTCTTCCCTTGGCCTGAGTTGTGGGATAGATTCAGCAGAGCAGGAGAAGAAGAGGAAGGGGAGGGGAAGGGGAGGGGAGGGGGAAGGGGAAGGGG